CAGAACATTCTAAAAGAATGATACATAAAGATGGTAGATTTCGGCTCTTTAGTCTATTTTAGAATAAACAATTTTAAAAAAAATGCTACAGCTATAGTCTTATTTAACCTTTCCAAGAGGAATAGCCAAGAACTAATATTCAATCAAATTTCACAAATCATAAAAACACTTCAAGGAATATGGAAGAATAAATGTTGCATGGTGGCATTCACAAACTGTTGCCAAGTTTTAAATAACACAAATGAAAAGAAAACACAAGATGTTTAAAAACACTGAGGGATTATCTGACAAGCCCATCACCCTATAGAGTATTATTTTCAGTCACATAATGGAGGGTTTCTGTGGCAAAATGGTTAAGCTATCTGCCTCACACTGTGAAGAACAGGCGTTTGTCTTATTGTCTGTGTTTGTTTTATGGTTGCAGTTTTATGAAGATCCATAGGGGCAGCCACTGGTGACATGGAGTTTGTGCTTTGTGGGATGCTCTCAGCAGGTGGCTAGCCAATCTGTAGAGAAAGATCAAGCCGTATGGGACAAAACTCTTGTGTAATTAGGTAGATCCTCTCAACTTGCGTGACCTAGCACGCCTATGCTACCAGGTCGAGATTTCAGCAACTTCTCATAAAAACAATATACCTTGGAGTGGCCGCTGCATCAAAGGACTGAATGTGCATGTAAAGGTCAATGTGCAGTGCACATCGACTGTGTTAATACACCAAGAACTTTAAACTTTAAACAGCAACAAATATAAAACCTTAATGAAAAACAAAGTAATGTTAAAATAATCATTAATGGAAAGCAACAACATGAAATTAATGATAAATGTCCATAATGAAGTGTAATTAAGTCAGGCAAATTGGTTTAATCATCTTTATCACAAACAGTGTATCTTTAACATGGTATATGAACATGTAGATAAAGCATGAAGTCACTCTAGGAGAAAGTGGACTGATGACAATAAAGACCTTCTATATTGACATGGAATGACAATAGTCACTGCTAGCCATCTAACAACAGACTGCGAATGTTCCTCCCCACGTGATTAATGGCAGAAGTGGAAATTGATGATGATGATGATGACGATGACATAAGTAAACCCCAGGATCTAGTGATTAACTGAGTTTTTAAAGATCTTTGTAATCAACTATGTTTTACATATATGTCTGTTGTGGTGGAGTGATTAGTGTACTCTCTTGGTGACATTTGTTTAGTCAGGTTTAATTAGCAAAAATACTTTTGATGGACTCCCAAACCAACCTCAGCCTTATCTGGCTGTTTGTAGTTTTAATGGGCAACGTTTTATGTTATGTAATTTTCCTTCAACTGTTGATGCTCATATTATTCTCTAGATCATCACAAAGCCGTCTCTGCCATGTCACCTGCTAGCCACTCCACTACTACGGCTTTTCAACACTGCCAGAAGATAGGGTACTACACACGACAGTTACCTCACCTCATTCGGTTGCAGGATTTCGTGGCAGTTCCCACAGACTGTTCTTTGTTCTAGGAATAATATGAGATGTCTTAATTCTCCGTCTATACACATTCTGCGGTAAAACTGGCTTGCCTTCGAATGATGTAGTTGACATACTGTGTCCTAGACGAAAGTGTGTAACTTTCTCTTTGAAACTTTCTTTTCTTGGAACGACTATTGTTTCTGGAATGTGTTGTTGTGAGTAGCTCAGGGGAAGCGCCAAAGGCGCCACAGTTTGTACTGAATTTTTAATGTTTTTGTATTTTTATGCTCGCTGACGGTGGATCTCGTTGGCAGCGGATGAGCTTAGAGCGTTCAAAACAAACACCCCTAGAACATAGGACAGTCCACAGGAACCGCCACAAAATCTCGCAACCAAACAAGATGGGGTGACTTTCGTGAGTTGTACCGAAGTTGGATACAGGGTAATTTCAGACATTTCTGGATGTTGCCACAAAATAAAGGTAAAAAAGGACGGGTGCTGGTATTTGCTACAGAACAACCTTTGTAAGTTTATAATTGACAGAACAGCATATTCAAAACCTTAGAATCCATAACAAAACAATGGGCCATTAATTATCAGATACTCATTCACACTTACACAGTAAAAAACTACTTTAAAAAAAAATGTTCTACAAAACTAGACAACATATTAGACAACAGGTATACCTTAAAACTTCAGGCACACCTGATTTGAAGCCTTCACTACAAATGATATGCCCCGTTCTTTGAGTGAAATCAATACCTATTAATATATCAAAAGCTTGGCATGCTGTGTTGTGGTTTACAGCTAGGCTGTGGTATCTACTTCCTTTGACCTGGCACATCCATCTATTTTTTTCTCACCCCCAAATGAGGCTCCACAACCTACAAGTGGATGCCACCATCTTCTAGTTCTTTGTGCGACATAGTGAAAAATATTAGTACAACATCCAAATATGTGCATTAATGATACTATAACCATCACAAACAAAAAGTCTTGGAATTACCGGTACCATATCATATAAAGTTTCAATTCCTGATAACGTATAGGGTGTTTGAATTAAGATAGGTTTTTTTTTAAATTGCTGGTCATATATATATAGGGTGCTAAACATTACTGATATCATATGTGGTAAATACATTACAGGTATCAAATAGGGTTTGGAATTATTGGTTTTATATAAGGTGTTTGAATTACCGATATCATTCATATAAGTGTATAATTTCTGTTGCAATATGACATGATATAATGAAAATGAATGAAATTGTGTTTTGTGCGAAGCTCTTGGCATGCAGCTGTGTCTGCTGAGATATGGCATCAAACTTGATGCAATGAAGAGAATCCTCTCAATCTGAAACCTGTCTTGACCCCTCAAACCCGAGTTCCTAAATAATGGGTGGTCCAAAAACCTACAATAGTCAAATAATGGAATACTACCACTGATGGTCTGCAATGTCGTTGGATCAGGCGCTAAGAACATGCTTCATAATTCTGACGTACCCCATTTGATTCCAGCTACAGATCCACTTGTATGCCGTCACTAACAGTAATTTGAAAAAAAAAATATTTGCTTACTCAGATATCACACAGTCAGATGAAAAATTCTTGCAACTTATTTTTTTAATTAACTATTCACAATTCGGATAAGATTCTAAAATGAGGAACTAATGTCATATATCTATACAAATCATTTGTGACCCAACAAAATTGTATGTTATTTTCAGCTCTACACAACTCTTTCATTAACAAGATATCGGCCAAGTAAACTCTTAAATACCACATACAAGGAAGAATAACTTTATGACCAAGTTCAATGACACATTTTACACCAATCAAATCACCATTTGCTCCATACGGAACCCTATACATTATATTTACATTGTTCTTCATACAAATAAAGTTGTCAGCTGATTAAACAGAACCAATGTCATAGCACTTGGGGGGGAGGTGGGACACCTATGTCTCTCTCAGCAGATCTTAGAATAGAGGGACAATGTTCAAGGAGTGCACCAATCTGAGGACAAATTTGCAGACCAGTGCATACAGACACTGCTCTCAGGACAAGTACCTATGGGCACTCTCTTCATGCCTATTACCTATGGGCACTCTTCTCAGGATAAGTGCCTAAGGGCACTACACCTAAGATAAGCACCTATGGGCACTCTTCTCAGACAAGTACCTAAGGGCACTATTTCTAAGACAAGTACCTATGGGTATTATTCTCATGACCAGTACCTATGGCCACTGTTTTCAGGACAAGTACCTGCAAATGCTTAGATAACTCCCTATAGGTACTATTCTTGGGACAAGCACCTACAGGTACTATTCTTGAGACAAGTACCTATGGGCACTATTTTTGGGACAAGCACCTGCATGCACTATTCTTGGGACAAGTACCTATGAGCACTATTTTTGGGACAAGCACCTACAGGCACTATTCTTGGAACAACTACCTATGGGCACTATTTTTGGGACAAGCACCTGCATGCACTATTCTTGGGACAAGTACCTTTAGGCACTATTCTTGGGACAAGTACCGACTGACACTTTCCTGAAGTACAGTTATAAAAAAGTGTTCCATAAGTTTTCATACAGGGAACTATAAGCATATTACCAACACCACTACAAGCAGAATCTCAACTGTGCTCATACGTGTTCTGATAAAAAGGGTTTTTATTAATAAAATATATTTACTTTTCCTATGTGTAGAACTAAAAGAGATGAAGCCTTATTATAGGTTTTCGAAAACAGAGTCTTACGACGAATCTTTGGACCCATTAAAGATGCAAACAGTGGTGAATGGAGAGTGAGAAGCAACAACAAAATTGATAATCTGTTTAAATCACCACTGATCGCTGGCATCATGAGAGCTAATAGACTGAAATGTTTGGGGCATATTTAAAGAATGTCAGATGACAGAGAAGTAAAAACTGTATACACCAGAGATATGAATGGTCGTAGACCTTGAGGGAGACCAAGATGATGGAGAGATAATATGCAGGCAGACCTGCAAACACTTGGTGTTACCAACTGGAAAGAGAAGGCTAACCAGACAGATGAATGGAGGCGGGTGATATCTGCAGCAATGAACCTCAAGGGCTCGGAATGCTGAAGAAGAAGAAGATGTGTAGAAATGTATAAGACACACACCCTATGTTTCACAACAAATAAGGACTGAAAGAGTAAGAAAATTACGATAATATTGGTTGAGCAGTAACAGCTATGATCAGCTATAATCAGTACGTACGAAGAAAGAAATGGTTACATTATTGTATCTTCTACGTTTGGTTTGAGTATGTATACTCAACAAATCTGGCCAGACATTCCCTTACGCCGCACTTTCTTTGAAAGTAATACATTCTTGCATTTGTTTTAAAATTGTTTTTACCGTCTCCTTTGGAAATTTTTTGTAAAATCTTCTGGTATCAAAAGAGTGAACCTTCTACTGAAACACTCTCACAAACCCCTTAAAGCTGCATCCTTGGAAACAAGAAGACTCGGTCATTCTTGGATGAATTATGACAGGAAATGTTTATCCAAGTATCAGACTAAATGACCTCTGAGTTCCCCACCAACAGGAACTGTTCTGTGCGGGGAAGGCTGGTGGATGTGAGGTGAAGGGGTTCTGTGGTTGGAGGTTGGGCCTGTGTAGGTGGGGTTGGCAACTATGTTGGGGGAAAGGAGGGTCGAAGAACCTGCAGAAAGAAGAAAAAACAAGGAGTTAGTAGGTTCTTTCATAACAGAAACATAAGGATATTCAATGTGCTAGCAAAACTAATGGGTCTTCTTCTTTTTCCACGTTCATCCTTCAAAGGGTAACTGGGTATGTTGTGCTTTACAGCTAGGCTGTGATATCTGCATCTTTTGGCCCAGGACATCCGATTTCAGCAAACCTTTAATTAACTGCCTGTTACAATTTGCTAAGAAGCATTACTCTTACCACCCATCAGCTTATTCTTATCCCATACCACTTTATTGCATCAGCTCATTATTATCCCATACCAGCTTATTCTTATCTCACATAAGCTTATTCTTATCCCATACCACTTTATTGCTATCAACTCATTCTTATCCCACACCAGCTTATTCTTATCCAACACTGCCTTATTCTTATCCCACACTGCCATAATTTATCCCATACCACCTTATTTTGTAGCCCACACCACCTTTTTTTCATATCCCATACCAAACTTATTCTTATCCTATATGCTTATTATTATTATCCCACATCACAGTATTCTTATCTCCCAACACCATATTCTTATCCTCTCCCACAACACCTTATTCTTTTCCCACACCATCTTAGTCTTATCCTATACCACCTTATTATCCTAAAATCATTCCCATCTATATTTTCTCCAATTACAATATACAATAATCTTTGTGATTCACACTGTCAAAAGCTTTTCAATAATCTATAAAGAACGAATGCAGGTCCTTAGGAAGCAACATCTCAATTTAAGCCACTCATAAATCAAACTGCTAGTGACACCATCGGAACTGGAACTCTTCCCTTGCTGCTGAAGATCAGGACAGAGCTCTTATGGAAATGTCCCGAGTGCTGTGATGTCAGTTCTTGGCTCAACACTCTGCACAATTTAAGTAAAGTGTAGGGCCCTTCACAACAGCAAATCAAATCGTTTGCCCACTTGGAGGGAAAGCCTTCTGATGATATACCCTAAAAAGCATATATCAAAAGAGGAGAGGGACGTTTAGCCAGAGGTAGACCAAGAACAACATGGAAAGATAACATCAGAGAAACTCTACAGAACCAAGATGTGTCTATGGTCAAAGCAGACAGAAGAGCAGTAAGCATGACCTTATATCTCCCTCGACACCTGAAGTGGTAAAAAAGATGTAAAGAAAAAGTGGGGTTCTTGCTATGCCAATCGCACACTGGGTATTTAATGCTACAGGCCAATAGGTATTTTGTGATATGATCAAGATCTTGCCAGCAGCCTTTACTTCCCCTTCCCAGGACATTACCTGGTACCAATTTGAAGCAAAATCGATCTGGGAGCCAAGCTCAATCTGAATTTAAATGCAGCATAAATTTTTATGAATTTCACAGGCGAAAAAATTTAAATTTCTTTATGATCCACTTTTATATGAGTAACAATATGCTATCTGGTATATGCATGTACAAGTAAAATAAGTAAAATGCAATCATCCTATTTTAATAAGCATGCAAGAATCTGCAGACTCACACAAGCTGTTTCATGCAGTTAGTTGCACCTTGGAATACAGGAAAATACTACAACTAAAATATACATACGTACTATGTAATCTCTTTACTCAACTCATGCTACAGATAAAAGATATCTTAAAGGATTGTTGGTATGCAGGGGCAGTAATTCAATTTTCACAAGTATTAAGCTGAAATTCTTGCTTTAGAGGAAGATTATTTACATAATTTATTGAATTTAACATCTGTAATAAATACCAATATATTTCTTTTAACACACACAAAAACTGGCACTCATTTTGAATGTTTTAATAAAGTAAAACTGTTGCTATTTTTTTCCTAAATATATAATGAACTGGCAATCACATTAGGTGCTGGAAAACTGTTACTATATTTCATGAACATAAAATGAACTATCAATCATATCAGATGTTCAGAAAGTAAAGCTAATTAATATATTAATAACAATCTTATAATAATCTGGAATGACAAGATTTTTTAAAAGTTCAACAGTTAAAAGCTCTCTGTCGTAAAGTGGTAAAGCCATTTGCCATGCGATGTAGTCTTAAGAATCACACATGCACACATTCTCTGATAGCTGGAACACCTGTCCTCTTTCCAGGCAATAATGTTTTATTTTCTTTCGGGACAACAGTGTTTTATCAGGACAACAGTGTTTTATTATTTTTCTAGACAACAGTGTTTTATTCATTTTCCAGCCAACAATGTTTTATTCTCTTTCCAGGCAACAGAGTTTTATTCTCTTTCGGGACAGCAATGTTTTATTCTCTTTCCAGACAACAGTATTTTATTATCTTTTCAGACAAGTTTTTTATTCTCTTTCCAGTCAAGTGTTTTATGCTCTTTCAAGACAACAGTGTTTTATCTTATTTTCGGACAACAGCGTTATATTCTTTCCAGACAAGTATTTTATCTTCTTTCCGGACAAGGTATTTTATTCTTTTTCTAGACAACAGTATTCTCTTTCTAGACAACAGTGTTTTATTCTCTTTCTAGACAACAGTGTTTTATTCTCTTTCTAGACAACAGTGTTTTATTCTCTTTCTAGACAACAGTGTTTTATTCTCTTTCTAGACAACAGTGTTTTATTCTCTTTCTAGACAACAGTGTTTTATTCTCTTTCTAGACAACAGTGTTTTATTCTCTTTCTAGACAACAGTGTTTTATTCTCTTTCTAGACAACAGTGTTTTATTCTCTTTCTAGACAACAGTGTTTTCTTCTCTTTCCAGACAACAGAGTTTTATTCTGTTTCCAGACAACAGTGTTTTATTATTTTTCTGGAAAAGTGTTTTATTCTCTTTCATTCTGCCATTCGGATGAGAACCACCTGTGGACAGGTCCCAGAAACCACATTCAACTAAAAAACTGGCTTATATTAGGGCCCCCGGCAACAGCCAGGGTGCTTTAAAACAGCAAATTGTGTCCTACATTCGGTTCTTTGTATGCCTTCACTGCATTAGGTTATAACTCATGCAAATCTGTCTCTCTCTGCAGTACGGCTGCAGCATGTCACACAAATCACAAGCTCCATTGCTTCGGCGATGATCCCCCATGAGGCCGATGCAAACAGTTTGACCATTACAACAAAGAGACCACCAGGAAATGTATGATCCTCTAATGACTACACAAGGAGCTACAGAAGTGAGTGGCCAGATGCTTATCTACCCAAAGGTTCAAAACCACACTGAGGAAGACTGTTGCAATTATTCTTTGTCTGTAAGGATCCAGCCTTATATAATTATTACAAATTCCTAACATCAACAAATGGAAATGGGGAACAATCAAAGAAAGAATAACTAACACAAATATGAGACCGTAAACCAAAACCAATCAACAGAAACACAGACACGAAGTAAAGTGACAACAAGGGGAAAAAAGACCCCAAACAAATTTTTAAAAAAAATGTGTGTGTTTTTAACTGTGTCTGCTCTTATAAGGGTGGCAGGTATGTTGTTTTGTGGATTACAGCCATGCTGCGCATCTCGGCCCAAGAGATCACATATCAGGAAACTTCTAATTAGTCCCCTTTCAGAACATGTTTGCTAGGGGAGCAGTATGCTTACAGACTTATTTGTGTGCAGCTGGTTGTTCTTTGCCTCTCAAGCTTGTGTACTCCCAACTTCAAAGTACGCCTCCAATAAGTCAACGCCTATGACACTGCTGAGGAAGTATTGGGTCTGTCCTTATTTTCCTCAGAATGGGGGAACACTGGGAGATTGACAGGCTGAAAGCTGAGTTGAGTTAATAAAAGTGACATCGACTAGCTGGAGATATTTCCACATATGCTGTCTTAACCTTCAGCAGCCAAAGAAGAGTGTTAATGCTAACCATATCAGTCTACAAACAACAGATTTGAAATATAACACTAGATTTGATTTTTTTTTTTTTTTTTAAAGTAAACAGGCTTTAGAAAATAGTAAACATAAACCTCAACTCTTTTGCCCTGATAACCTATTGGATAAAACCTATGATCGTGGACAAAATCTGTAAAATAAACACACACACAATTTTTTTTTAAAAACAGGTCACAAATAAATTAAAATTGTTTTTTCATTTACAATTTCAAAATATTTTGGAAATTAATGAAGAGTAATTAATAAATGAAAGCGCAGCAAAGAATTACATTATTTTCACTCGCTATATGGTGACCCTTACTTGACTCAGTGACTCATCGCTATGGGCCCATTAAAACCATGAAAGTTATAAGCTTTAAAATCAATTTTTTCACAATCCTCCTTCAACCTAATGCTTTGGGGGAAAAAGGGGGGGGGGGGGAATAAATATAATCATATCTGGAGCCTCCTAACAACTGTGCAAGTGCAAACAGAACCAATGCCAATAATTAGGCTTTTTGGAGACAGAAGACTGAAACACTGCCAGTTTTGCAGCAGTTCAGTGAATTTGTACAGATGGCAATGCCAGAATAATGGCACTATGGGGCAAACAAAAATATGTTAACATTACTATCAATAAGTGGATAAGTTTTAAAAAAAGTTTTAAATAATAAATGAAATTTTAAAGATACTAGGTCTTAAGATCACTTTTAAAAAAAACAGGCTACAGAAAAATTACACTAAAATCTTTTTTCTATTTAACTAAGTAAATATGCTCTAATCACTATAAAAGATATTAGGAGGTGGGAGGAGGGAGTGTCTGATGGTAAGTAGAACTGAAACATTAGGTATCATTTATTTTTTCAGTGCCACTTTAATAATAGACAGCGTGATGATTACCATCACCTTGTCTTTAGAAACTTTGGCTGGTAAAATAAAGTACGAGTGACTTCACTCACTAAACAAACTTTGCTTTCATTTTGTTTACACAGACTGTGGAAAGGTACTGTAACTCAAAGTATGTGACTTCAGGCTCTAAACAACAGCAACAACGAAGCACAATGTCCCTGTCACTATGTTCATTCTCATTGGTAACATTCAACATGAACACCAGAAGGAAATAAACAGCCCAAAAAAAACCAGCCGTTGTGTGCT